ATATATATATATATATATATATATATATATATATCAGGTGATATATATATATATATATATAGTACGTTGTAGTAGGGGAGTGGGAGTTGGAGACAGCTAGTGTCCGTGATGTTACGACTTGTGTTGTTCTATTATGGCGTACTGATTTTGATGACAATAGGGTTCGTTTGTTGAACATAAACATGCATGTATAATTATCTACTGTATCTCTAATTAAAATTATATCATAAACACACTCTGGTGTAACAAAAGAGTTACAGGGTCAGGGTTAGGCTTACGTATTAGAGTTACATATGGTAAGGATTAAAGTAAGGATAGATAAGGATGGTAAGGATGGTAAGGATAGATTTGGCGGTAGGGTTATGCAGTACAGTAAAAACCCGCGTATAAGAACCTAGATTTTAAGAACTTGTGAGGTTCAAATTTCCCATTTAGACCCCTTTACATAAAAACCTGTTTTAGGCTAAGATTTTGAAGTAGGTTCTTAATTTTCCATGCAGATGAAGACTTAAAAATAAACACAGGTAAAATAAAAAAAGATGAGCTCAACAATATCGATGAATGTGCTAGCACCCTGGCATTGTTATTGAGACACAGTACTGCATTATTTACATATATCTGCAAATGTAAAATATTAGAAAGTGGCTATTCTTACGACCAGTCGTAACAATTATTTATGGAATATTCTTACGACATGCAACGCGCATGCGCATGCGTTGCGTATGTCGTTATACACCATAGATTAATCTTAGTACTATAAGATAGCCGAGTCGGTTTCTAGTTAGTGTTAGGGTTAGGGTTAGGGTTAGGGAGTAGGCTTAGGCGACTCCCTAGACTAGCATTATATTACTATTAACTATTATGCGTTATGCGTTGCATGTCGTAAGAATAGTCCATAAATAATTGTTACGACTGGTCGTAAGAATAGCCACGGCGAAAATATTATCAAACAAGGACACAAGCGTCTCTTCAGTAAAACATAGTTCTTGTCAGCACATGAGAAATAAGCAGATGTATTGTTTCCACATTACAGTACTGTATGTCCATTCAAAATCACAGAGCTGTGTTGAAGGCTGGTTAGCACTTTCTAATGTCACTAATACTGAGTTCTTCAGAAAATTCTTAGGTTTGAAGTTTTCTTGTGAACCTCTTCAAGTAACCCCTATCTCCAACCAACCTATAGTCAACAGGAATCTCAAGGCCCTTCCCTTGGCCAGCATTGTAGCGATTGCCAATACATTCTGCCTCAATTTCCCCGTAATCGTCTAGGAATTTGTAAAATAACTTGGAAAGTTCAATTGGGACATATCCGACCATTTCACTATCTTGATTCTTCACATCAACTGCATATTTGTCGTTGTCATTGTCTCTTTCAATTTCAGACATCATGATCTCCCGAACACAAACGGTTACAGCCTTGAAATATGCATTATAACCATGGATGCTTGAATCAACATACACCTCGTACTCTCCTGCGATGTCTAAGCTTTGGATGTTCTGGATGAAGCGTTGAAGTTGGTGAATTTTTAAGACGAAACGTGAGCTCTAAAAAAGTATAAGCTTATACATATTAAAAGTAGAAACAAGAACCTATTTAAGAACCTTTTGAGCCTAATTTCTCAGTAAGCACCATTTATATAATAACCTATTGAGGCTAACTTGGAAAAATCTAGGTTCTTATACTGGATTATACGGAATTATAGGGTTGATGATTTTTTGAACACTGAAACATGCCAGTCCAAAGTTGTTGTCATAGACGCTTTCGTACATGCATTCCATGTAGTATCGCCAATGTTATCGTCGTAGCCGCTTTATAATACGTACGTACCATGCAGTATCACCAACGTCGTCGTCGTCACACAATAATATAATGATAAGGTATCACCAACGTTGTCGCCGTAGACGCATTCATAATACGTATCATGCAGTATCACCAACGTTGTCGCCGTAGGTGCCTTAATTTAAAGCTTATATAACGTAGCAGTATCCTCAACGTTGTCGCCGTAGATGCTCTACTTGGCTTTTCTAACGTAGCAGTATCACCAACGTTGTCGCCGTAGATGCTCTAAGGCTTATATAACGTAGCAGTATCACCAACGTTGTCGCCGTAGATGCTCTGAGGCTTATATAACGTAGCAGTATCACCAACGTTGTCGCCGTAGATGCTCTAGGGCGTATATAACGTAGCAGTATCACCAACGTTGTCGCCGTAGATGCTCTAGGGTTTATATAACGTAGCAGTATCACCAACGTTGTCGCCGTAGATGCTCTAAGGCTGATATAACGTAGCAGTATCACCAACGTTGTAGCCGTGTGCTTACGTTACCCTGCTGCACCGCCAACGCAGAGCCGTATAATTATATAGATCTATCCGTATCTATCTTTATATACGGCTCTGCGCCAACGTATAGGCCTACATACAAACACGCACACACACACACACACACACACACACACACACACACACACACACACACACACACACACACACACACACACACACACACACACACACACTACGACACGACGCG